GGACTTTTTGGGTCCTGACTTTTATCATCATGAGAATGGAAACTGCTCATTTTCAAATTGATCTTCAATATATATTTCCTAAGTTAAGACATCTCACTGACAGATGGGGAAATATGTTTTTTCTCCTTACTCTCGACTCACTTGAACTTCCTTTGGCACTTAATAACCATTTGAGCCTGCTAGACAACATAGTATTAGCAAATAAGTGAGTAAAATTATCATGATTTTCTTACGTGATTGTACTATCTTTAGTTGGTGTCTTTTTTCAAGCATGCTTCAATAACTTTTCTTTTGAGTTGAGGGTCTATTGAAATAGTCTTCCTACTCCACAAAAGTAGGGGTTAGGTCTACTTACATCTGCTAGTACAAAAAAAGAAATCACCTTGAGCACCTTATAAGTTAAAGATATACTAGTAGTTATATACAAGATGTAGTCACTACATGGATGGTGGTGTTCTTCTATCTGATAGTCCGTCCTTTCTCTCTTTTATTCTTTCATTATGTCAAAAATTCAAAACTACAATAAACGCTACCAGGTTAATCCTTCTACTCCTAGTCCCAACATTCTAGGAATATTAAAACTACAATTAATACTACTTTTATTACCATAAATTCTATCACAATAGATTTGTGTCCATAAAATATCAATTAAAAGAACACTCATACAATCTCATCACTGACAAAACCGAACAACCTCTTCTCTACCAACTCAATCAACCATGAATTCAAACCAAACAAATTTTACCACAATTCCCTTAATACTAGTGGACGGATTGGTTGCGGGTGCAGCCCCCATTTGCACGATGCCGCCAATACCTAACACAAACCCGTCATCTTGGGTCAAAATGGGTCTCCAAGGCCACTCTTTAACACTGCATGTCTTGATGGAGAATCAAGAATTGATGCTAGTGATACAAAATCTTTCCTAGCTTAGATTGTTTTGGAGGGGGATAAGGAGAGCCATGGAGATTTACAACAATCATCTATGGCTGTTGACAACCATTTAGCCACCAACTCCCTGGGTTATCATTCTTTCACATTCCATCATGGGAGACACCACTGTACACTCTCATGCACCAAACCCGTCCAATAGAAGTGACTCCCCCCACCCCACTAAGCTACCCAAACATCTAAAACATAGATCAGACCATTATTGGCAAATGCAAGCGCAAGCACATGGAACTAGGGTTTTTTCCCAACTACAGGATAAGCGTGATCAATTGAAAGCACATGAACTTAGAGGCAAAACAATGTAACCTCCTCAATTCAGGTACACGTCCCTGTAAAACTAGTTCCTATACGACCAGTGAATACGAACCGTCGTAATGAAATTAGTTTTACAGGGGTGTACCTAAGGTAATGTGGCTATGTTGTTTTGCATCTGAGCTCATGTGCTCTCTCTATTAATCCCACATGTCCCATAGTTGGGTAAAAAACCTCGGTTCTCTATGCTAGTCACTGTATTTACTACTGATAGTACAATGGGTCAATGTCTCGGATGTTCGGATAGCCTGGTGGGGGGTTGTCATTGCTATTGGATGAGTTTGGTGCATGGGAGTGTACAATGGTGTCTCCCATGGTGGAATGTGAAAAAATAGTAACCTTAGGAGTTGGTGGTTGAAGGGTTGTCGACATCCATAGATGGCTGTTGTAAGTCTCCATGGCTCTCCTCATCCCCTTCGTAACAATCTGAGCTAGGAAGGATTTTTTATCACTAGCATCATTTCTTGATTCTCTATCAAGACATGCAGTGTTAGAGAGTGGCCTTGGAGACCCATTTCGACCCAAGATGATGGGTTTGTGTTGGGTATTGACGGCGTCACGTAGATGGAGGTTGCACGCTCAACCAATCTGTCCAATGGTATTAAGGGAATTGGTGGTCAAATTCGTTTGGTTTGGATCCATGATTGATTGAGTGGGTAGAGAAGAGGTTGTTCGCTTTTTGTCAGTATCTTCTGATCATTGATATTTAAATGAGGCAAATCTATTGCGATACAATTTATGAGAATAGAATATTATTTATTGTAGCTCTTAATATTCCGAGGATGTTAGAACAAGGAGTAGAAGGATTAACTGCCAAAACTCAAAAATTAGAAGTTGAAATCTCTATTTAAGAATGACAACTAAATGTAGAACTTGGGAAGGAAAGAAAATGAATAGAATAAGTCAGCTCAATAGTTTCTTTATGTGGACACACTTCTATATTTGCTCAAAACAAAGAGGGTAGATCTATTACATAACCTTATTCTTGATAGTTGGTCCTTTTTTTCTTTCAATATGTCAGAACATCAAAACTACAATAAATACTACTAGTTCAGACAGTTAATCCTTCTACCCTTAGTTCCAACATTCTAGGAATATTAAAAACTACAATAAATACTACCTTTATCACAATTGATTTGCCTCCTTTAAATATCAATGAGCAGAAGACCCATATGATCTCATCTTTGACAAAAGCAAACAACCTCTTCTTTACCCACTCAATCAACTATGAATCCAAACCAAACAAACTTTACCACCGATTCTCTTATTACAAGTGGGTTGATTGGTTGTAGGTATAACCCCATCTACATGACAACGCTAGTAAGTAGTACTAAACACGAACCTTTCATCTTGGGTCTCCAAGGTCACTCTCTAACACTGCATGTCTTGATGGAAAATTAAGAAATGATGCTAGTGATACAAAATCCTTTTTTCAAAGATCAAATTGTGTCAAACGAAATAAGGAGAGCCATGGAGACTTACAACAACCATCTATGAATGTCAACAACTCTTCAACCACCAATGAACTACCAATTCCTGGGTTATCGTTTTTTCACATTCCAACATGGGAGACACCAATGTACATTCCCATGAACCAAACCTATCTAATGATAACGACATCCCCCCATTAGTCTACTCGAACATCCAAGACATAGACCTTTGTACCGTCAATGGCAAATGCAGGGATAAGCATAGAGAACTATGGTTTTTTCCCAACTATGGGACAAGTAGGATCAATGGAGAACACATGAGCTTAGAGGCAAAACAATGTAACTTCTTCATCTCAGGTACACCCCTTTGTAAAACTAGTTTCTTTAGGGGGAAAAAGGACGAATTTACCCTCGAACTTTGATAAATGGTACATCTATGCCCTCCGTTATACTTTGGGTCCATCTCAGCCCCTGCCGTCCAATTATCGGTACACACAGCCCCTCTCACTAACGACCCCCTCATCCTGTACACGTGTCTTAATCCTAATCAACTACCCGTTTGACCATTTTTTTTAACCCATAAACTAACAACCCACCCCATAAACCCATACCCACCCGATTCCCTCTAAAATATCCTAAGTCAATTAAAAGACCCAAATATCCACACCATTGTTTTTAACCCATAAACTAACGCCTGATATTTATTGAACATTTTAATAGATTTGGTGGACAAATAAGAATGACTTTCTTGTCATATTTATTTTTGTAGACCATTACTTTTATCTCCTTTGACACTTTGTTTTTCTAGTTTGCTCCAAAAGAATCACTTTGGGAATAATTTCCGAATCAAATTCAAGATTATGTATGTATTTCGTGGGTTTGATTTTATGTACAACTTTATTGGTATGATACTGTGTGATTTTTGGCTGCTTAGGTCCACTTTTAATATAGTATAGATAGTTTTTTTTCCATTATTAACTAATATAATCATACTTGAAGTGCTAGCTTTGTAAAGAAAGAAAATAACTCCGAGCATGTATCTCATTTTGTTACATGACAAAAAAGTAATCTTGCATTACAAATTTATATCGTATTTGAATCTACTTCCTAACTGGATTATTGTTCAACTTTGCAAGTTCAGAAGATGCCAAATAATTTACTCCATTTTAGGAAGTCTATTTTAATTTACATGAGACACGTGGAACACGTGTCTAGAAACTAGTATTTACTATAAGCATGGAACTTAAGCTTTATGGTGCCTTTACGTTGTGCTTGATTCATGATCGTCCACAGTAAATTGTTGAAATATGATGAGCTTTTGGATGCAAGAAGATAAACGATTGTATATTTTTGCAGTAAATCTGAGCCGTCATGATTCGTCTATTTCTATACACAGTGCAACTGTTATTCCCCCACCATTGACTGCAAGGTCAGTCTCGATGAGAGATATGGGCACGGAAATGACTCCAATTGCAAGTCAGGAACCTTCCAGGACAGGGACACCTGTGAGAGCAACAACACCTCTTCTTTTTATCCTTCAAATGATAATTTGGATGCTTGCACAAATGAATTGTCTGACCAGGAATTACAGATGAAAACTCGACGAGAAATCATGGCACTTGGAACTTAACTTGGTGAAATGAATATAACTGCCTGGGCTAGCAAAGATGGGGAGGATAGAAATGCATCCAGCTTGCTGAAAACTGATAAGCAAGACCAACTAAATACCACTGTCACTGAGACACGTGCAGCTGCTTGGGAGGATGCAGAGAAAGCGAAGTACTTAGCCAGGTAATTTCCGGGATATTAGAGATCTTATTTTAGTTCTTGAGCCTTTTGGTTGAGGTTTAGAATATAGCTACAAGTCAAGCTAGGTTATTCATGGGACCTCCTTGGATCCCCATTAATGACATTGATCCTGTTATATATTTTAAAAAAAAGATTTGCTAGCTTATTCAACTTTGTAGTTATCCCTAAGATGCTCGTCAACCTCTGCTGCACTTTATTCTTCATGGTGATGGGTGCTCCTTATGTATGCTCTAGAGCATAATCTGATGAAAGCTTATCTATCCAAAGAGAAAAAAGCAAGAACCAACAATTAGTTGATCAATGCTGATTCTCAATGGAAGCTTATGTGGGTTTTCTATTTAAATTGTCAATTTGCTACATAGTGTATGACTTGCTGGTTATCGTTCTCAAGGTTTAAACGAGAAGAAATCAAGATACAAGTGTGGGAAAATCATCAACAAGCAAAGATAGAAGCTGAGATGAGGAAAATTGAGTACTACTTATGAATCATAAAGTAAATCAGTTTGCCACAAACTGAGTAGTGAATACCTTTGCAATCTTCTCAGTAGGTACCAATGGAAGATATAAAGCGTTGTATCCCTTCTCTGATGCAGCATATTGCTCGGCCATTGGCTCGTACTTGGTGTAACGTTTCTTGGCAGTGGGCTCATACTTAGCATAGATTATTTTAGCTAGTCCTGACGCAGCTCCCATCACACCAGCACTTTTGACATCAGCTGCAACTGCGTGAGCCGCTGCAGGATCTTGCTTGAAACAAAGGGAGTCCCGATTGATTCCATGGTCGAAAGAGTGTGGATGCAGCACATTTATTTGGAAGTTACTCTTCTAAAATGCATTGGCTTTTATTAAGTAGTTTTTTTGTGATAAAAAAAAGTACTCTGCAAGCTTCAAAAGGCTTTTGATCAGATTCTTACTTTTATTTGTAGGTTCAGTTTTGCATTGCTTATAAATCTTACTTCTAGTTTGATATTCTTCTTCATTATGTTGTTTGGTTAGTTTCATCTTTTAATAATATTTACCATTATCTCTGAGTATGGCATCTCAAATCATTTATCAAATTATATATACATCAACTTTCATCAATTGTTCTCAAAAATACTTCAACAATGGTGATATTTCAGGTAGGATAAAGGGAACAACTTATAGTTGAGGTGTATTTTGATAAATAGTGTTGGTGATAATTCAGATATGAAACTCAATAATAAGATATTTTAATTAAGTATGTTTTTAACCATTAACTCAAGTAAAGAATGTCTACTTTTGAACCCTAAAGTGGGAATCAAAACCATATTTTGAAATGAGGTTTTGCACATCATGACTCAATACAACAATAATTACTACTTATATCTCAGTCACGATCACTTTACTTATACTCCTTTTTGTTTTGAAATTATATCTACGAATGACATTAACACATAAAAATCATGGGTCTTAATTTAAAGATCATGACTATTCAGGCCTATACACGTCTAGTAACCAAAAGACACAAAAAAATATAAGCAAAAAATAAAGAGAAAATTTCAATAGATTCAAATAAAATTACAAGAAAATAGGAATGAAATAATATCACACCTTTCCTAAAATTTTTTACCTAAATAGTTTCCTTATCCTTCTAGGATTCGAATTGAAACAATGATGTTTAAAGCGGTAATATTGTGCAAAATATATAAAACTTTAGGAAAAAGAATGGACTAATAAAACTTTAGTCTAAATAATATAGGAATAGAATTTCTAATCCTACCTAAATTAGGTCTTATACCATTATAAATAAACGTAGTTTGCTGGCTATTTTCTATTAACAAATAGTAGAGAGTTCATAACTTTATAAATAAAATATCTTTCTTCAGGAAAAAAAGTTTTTCATAGCGAAAATGTTGAACGTTAGGATGAACAATTATAAGATCACAGTATACGTGGTGTCTTGTTGGATTTTTGCTGCCTTTGGTGGATTGATGTTTGGTTACGATATTGGTATTTCAGGAGGAGTTTCTGCTATGGATGATTTCTTGATTAAATTCTTCCCACATGTTTATCAAACAAAGTTACATGCTAAAGAAAATAACTATTGCAAATATGATAATTGGCTTCTCCAACTCTTCACTTCATCCTTATACATATCCGCTCTTTTCGCCAGTTTTTTCGCTTCAAAAGCAGCTACTAAATTAGGAAGAAGGACTACCATTTTGATAGCGTCAATCTTTTTCATTGTTGGAGCTGTATTGAGTGCTGCCGCGAAGAACAAGTTGATGCTTATATTAGGTAGAGTTTTGTTTGGTATTGGTGTTGGATTCGGAAACGAGACTGTTCCTCTGTTTTTAACTGAAGTTGCACCAATCCAACACAGAGGAGCTGTGAATATCATGTTTCAATTGTTTGTGACTATAGGAATATTCGTAGCAAATCTTGTTAACTATGGAACTTCAATGATACATCCATATGGTTGGAGAATATCACTTGGATTTGCAGCTATTCCTGCGGTGATTCTGTTTATTGGTAGTTTTGTGATCACTGACACCCCTACGAGTCTAATTGAGCGTGGTAATGAGGAACAGGGGAAGTCCACGCTCGTGAAGATTAGGGGTGTCAGTGATGTTGAGGCTGAGTACAAAGAAATCGTGGCAGCGTGTGAACAAGCCAAGCAAGTTAAGCAGCAATCGTTGAAAAACTTACTGAAGCCTGCTAGCATTCCGCCACTTGTGATTGGTGTGTTGTTGCAAGTCTTTCAGCAATTTACTGGAATCAACGCTATTATGTTTTACGCGCCTGTCCTGTTTCAGACTATGGGATTCAAGGCCAATGCCTCGCTTCTGTCCTCTGTCATTACCGGAATTGTTAATGTTGGCAGCACATTCGTTTCGATCTACCTTGTTGACAAGGTTGGAAGGAGAAAATTGCTCCTTCAAGCTTGTTGTCAGATGTTAATTTCTCAGTTGGCAATCGGAGCAATTTTGGTAAAAAGTTTATCAGAGACAGGAACGTTGAACAGGACACTTGCAGCAATAGTGGTGCTGCTTGTGTGTACTTATGTAATGTCGTTCGCGTGGTCATGGGGACCTCTTGGTTGGTTAATTCCTAGTGAGACATTCCCATTGGAAACAAGGACAACTGGTTTTGCTTTCGCGGTTAGCACAAACATGCTTTTCACTTCTATCATTGCACAACTTTTCTTGACTATGCTTTGCACTATGAAAGCCTATATTTTCTTCTTTTTCTCTGGATGGATCGTTGTCATGGGATTATTCGTCTACTTCTTCTTGCCTGAAACGAAGGGAGTTCCGATTGATTCCATGGTCGAAAGAGTGTGGATGCAGCACCCTATTTGGAAGAGATTATTCTAGAATGTATTATGTTTTTATTAAGTAGTTTTTTGTGATCAACATTTAGCTTTTTGTTTGTAGGTTCAGTTTTTATCATATGGATTAGAATATCAGTTTTTTTGTCGTCAAAAGTAGTCCCTTAGTTTCTTATTTGTTGGTATGTAGCTGCATTTTTGTTTTCTATTTGCTTCATTAATGTTCACACAAATTAGAAATTTATAAATTGATCATCTTTTGCTTTTATGTTGAAACAATAAGAAGATCCACAATCAGATATTTCCTCCTATGAAGATAGCAAGTATACAGATAAAAAAAAATGGGAACTTATATAATAAAATCAAGATGAATTAATTCTATCATATCTAGTAGGCTTTCTTTTTTAACATGCAAGTGGCAATATTTACAAGAAAAGTATCAAAAACACTTTTAAACTTGGCGCAAATTGTTCGTTTCATTCCCGAACTTTTTATAGCCTTAAAAACACCCCTCTACTTGACTAACTAAACTTAGATACACCCCTGCTACACTCCCGATATGCAACATGACTTAGCAAGTAGTCTCAAACTCTTGTAGGAACATGGAGTTCTTAATAAAAATAGAGAGAAGTGTTGAAAACACCCCTAAACTTGACGAGAATTTAGGGGTGTATTTCACTAATGTTGCAAGATCAGGGGTGTATTTAGCTTCAATTAGTCAAGTAAGGAGGTGTTTTTAAGGCTGTCAATAGTTCAGGGATGAAACTAATAATTTGCGTCAAGTTTAGGGGTATTTTTTATACTTCTCTCCAATATATATTGGTAGAATTCTCAAGTTATATATTAGTTAGAGATGATTGAAAAAGATTAAAGAAAATTATTTGACTCTAAAGTTATCTTGTGAGTTATGGAAAGAAACCTTACAATTATCCCTTATAGAAATTGAAAAAGATAAAGAAAATTATTTTGACTCTAAAGTTATCTTGTGAGTTATGGAAAGAAACCTATCAATTATCCCTTATAGAAGGTCAAGTAGGATTGAGAGATTTCTAGACTGACAAGCTTTTGAAGGTGAAGTGTATATAACAATTGAAATCTTAAGTGAATTCTACATTGAAATGAGATAGGAAAATGAAGAGTGTTAATCTATATTTAAGACATACATAGTTTATGGACATTGTATATATTATAAGACATCGGTAGATCTTACATCGGAATGGTACACACAACTTTTACAAGCAAATATTAACAAATCTAAGGATGTTGTATCTTAGTTTTTTATTGGCAAATTAAATCTTATAACATTGATCGTAGTATTTTACATATCTCCAAAACTTTCGAAGACGCTAAGTTTTAGTTTTAGTTTTTATTAATTATTATTAAATAACTAGACATGAACATTAAGGTGTATTGATAAATAATCAGATACCAATTCAATTTAAGAATGTAGGGATATTCATGATTCAGTTTAAATTAGTTTTTTTTTTAAAAGGAAAATTATATCAATTAAGCCAATTCTTTTAAATGTTAGAATCAAAACAAACTATTTAAGTCAGTTTTTCATCGCTTTGATATTTATTTATTTTTTTGTTAATTCAATTCTTTTGTCATTTTAATATATATATATATATATATATATATATATATATATATATATATATAAACATATTAGATTGACTATATTTCAACGTAAAGCTATCATATCAATTGCACATTAAGAAAAGAAGGAACTATATAGAGTATGTAATTAGGTAATAATAAAATTGTTGTAATCTCATAATCTGAGTAACATATTACCTTGTTAATAAATAGAGGGAAAGAAAATATCTCTTCCTATTTTATCCCCCCCTCCCCCATCTATATGTTAATTTCTTTTTAATTAATTTCTTTTATTTTTAAAATTTTCTCTTTAATATTTATTGCATTTTAAATATATTATATTAATGAGAATTATCTAAATGTGTTACATAATTTATGTTTTTTTGAGTATAAGAATTTAGAACTTTTGAACCGAAGTATTCAAATATTTATTAATAAGTATTTATATAGCCGGTTTGATTTGTATTTATGGTTATTTTCTTGCTTAGAATTAAATAAAATATCGAAATGAACCTTTTTTTTCCAATCAAACTGTAATTTACCATATCAAAGTTTGATAATATATTGGATAGAACTTTGAAACTTTTAGATTTTCTAGAAAAGATGGGATCAAAACTTCTCGATTATCGAAGTGAAACTTGACATACCGACGTCCATTCCTTGTGAATTGTTAGCTCATATATATATAGGTATCATTAGCGAGTGCTATAGATTTCTTGACTGACCTATTCTGATATATTCATAATATTAAGACTTGACAGGGAGCATACATCATTCTTTTAAAAGCTAACATATGAAATATTGAATAAATTATAAACATATCTTTTTTCTTTATATGTAATTATCAAATTCTCGTATCAAAGTTTGATTTATCGAACTGAACTTTCGTTCTTAGTATCCACTATTTTCAGTTACCGATTAATAAATTATCTAAATCAAACTTTTAAAAATATCAATCTGATCAAACTAAATAGCAAACATCCATTCCTAATTGCATATATTTTTGTTTTTGGTATCTACTACTTTCAGTTACCGATAATTAAATTATCGACATCAAACTTTAAGAAATATCAAATTGAATAGCAAACACCTACTCCTAATTGTAGATATTTTACTACTTTCCAATTATCGATATCAAACTATTCAAACCAATTAGCAAACGTACACTCCTAATTGTAGGATATTTTCTTCTACTCGATTTGATTCAATTTTTCGATTTTTCATGACCAGCATACCCTTCATTATTGGTCAAAAGATTATTTATTACTCAACATAAGACAAAAAGATCTAATATTTTATTTGATAATAACTTCACTTGAAGTAAGTAAAAGTAGTATCTTTGAAACTTTTCCTTTTTAATCATAATTTTGAGTCAAAAAGATTTGAGTAGAAAGTGTAGGGACTACACTCTTCTTTTCTCTTTTTGTCCATTCTGATATTGACAAGATTCATCAGCCAACACTCTCATCACTACAATTTCAGTCTTTTCTCAGAGAAACTGTCACACCCCACAAGCCTGAAATCATCCTTTATGGAGTATGAAAGAATCGACAAGAGAAATTTACAGGTAAAATTTGAGTTTTAGAGATTGAAAATCTTGCAGAATCAGTGACAATGGAGTAGGATTTGAGTATAAACACTGATTAGTTGTTTATTAGCTTCTTTAATCTGTTTTGTGATCTGGGTTGTTTTGCTTTTTTCATCTCTTTATACAAGCTCCGACTTTGCTCTTTTGAACATACGATTTCAGGGTGGGAGGTGGAGGTGCTTATCATCCGAGAAACCCCTTTTGTGATCTGGGTTGAAAGCAAAAAAAAAAGTTTTTTTTTTGTCCTTTTTCCCCAATGTGAGTTTGTATTTTCAAGGCAAAATTGACATTGTTGAGCTTGAGAATCTTGCAGAGTGAGTGACGATGGAGTAAAGGGTACAAACCCTGATGCATTATGTACTGCTAAATTGTTAATTTGGTTCTTTACTGGCGTTGTGATCTGGGTTGAAAGCACTTTTTTTCACTTTTTCTCTTTCCCCAATGTGTGTTTTGATTTTCAAGGCAAAAAAAGGTAGAGAGAATGATGCATTGATATATCGTTTTCATCACAATTGGGCTTTTCCTACTTTAGTTATTGTTGGTTTTGCTTGTTTTTTTCTACTTCTTGCATTATTCTCCTTTTGTTTAAAAAAAAAATCAACTTTTGATCCATTGAATCTGCACATAGTTATACAGAGCCATCACTTTCTATGTAAACCCCATTTCTCATTTAGGAAATTAAGCTTTCTTTTCCCCTTCCGTTTTGTTTGTTTTGTTATAGCTGTCTCCTAGAAAGCTGAGGTCTATGCTACTGGGAGCAGAAAAGAAGAGGAAACAAGAAGGAAGGGATGACGTAGTAGAGGATCAAGAGCTTGAATCTGCTACTGTGTCCTTGAGATCCCATTTGCCTGAGATCCATGACTCCGGTATAGTAATGCATTGACGTTTTGTATATTGTGCAATGAGATTTTGTACTTAGGGGGTACCTTCATTTCTTGTTTTAATGCTTACCTTGTTTACACACTCTGTTAGATTGAATGCAAGTACTTGTTTTTTGCCTGTCAGGTTGTAATTTGGAGAATTACAAAGATGTAAATGTTGTAAGTGTTGTTCCTGAGAGTTCAACTTCCTTAGCACTTGATTCATCAATGTCATTGGAGATGATTAATGACACGAGAATCAAAGATCAATCTTTGGTTAGTACAAGAATTAGGTCTCAAGATGACAGTAGTTTGGACTGTGATGGTGGAATCGATAGTGTTGGTACTGTATCTCCTCTCTTTGAATTTCAAAAGGCTGAACGGGCAGCACAGAGAGTGCCCCTAGCTCATTTCTCAAAACCTGCCCCTTCCAAATGGGATGATGCGCAAAAATGGATAGCAAGCCCAACATCTAACAGGCCGAAGACTGGGCAGAGCAGTCAAGTTGTTGGATCTCGCAAGCCTAGTCATTCTGGATATGGCTATCGGCAACAATCTACAAAAGTTGTAGTTGAGGTTCCTGATCAAAAATTGGTTCCTTATGAGGAGCCTGTTGACACAAAACAGATAGACTCAGGCCAACCAAAGGACAGCGGAGTTCAGAAGTTCGTGAGTTGGGAGGCTGAGCCACACCCAATTGCTGAATCATATGTTAAGCCAATGCTCATGATTGAAACATCCATCGGACAATCAGCAAGTAAGACTAATTTTTTATGCGCGATACCCTATCAACCAACACCTTGCACTGTAGCTTTAATCCCTTTACATGTGACTGGAAAAGATTTCTGTCTATTCTTGATATAAATTTGAGTCCAAGAATGGGAAATAGTAGTATTGCTAATTTCAGTGTACTTTTTATAAAGATATTGTTATCATTTCTAGTTTGCATTCTATTGTGTGAAGCACCTTCTATTTAGAGGTTGCACAATTATATTCAAT